GGAAATTATTTTTGTTACTGGCTCCATAAATCAAAAGCAACGGCGTATACATATATACATGTCTGTACATATATACATATATATATGTATATATATTTTTTTATATTTTTTTATATATTTTTCTAATTCTTTTATATATATTTGATATATTTTTAGAATTTTTTAATACATTTTTTCTAAATTTCTTAATAGATTTTTAATAATTTTATAATTTATAATTATATTTTTTTATAATTATAAAATAATTAAAATAATTGGCATTTTTTTTATAATTTAGAAAACATCCTGACAAAGCAGAGAAAGTTAACTGGAGCTCAATAAAATGCCTCAAAAACCACCAAATCCAGTGGATATATATACATATATATATATATGTATATATATATATATATATATATATATATATATATATATAGATATAATGAATACAGAGTTGTGCATTATAACAAGAAAAGACATCAAAACCCGGGTTCTGAATCCTAACAGACAACACTTTGGCTTTTTAAGGGTCGACATCCATCTTATTCTGATTTGGAAAAAGAGAAAATGGAGCCCGGGTCCAAACGTTGGTTCCCGGGGGAACCGGGACTCTTCCCCCGGGTTCATCCTGATATTTACGGACTCCTGCACCACGGTAAGTTATGGACAGGGATCGAGCCAAGACCTCGCTTAGTGTTTTCACTCCCTTTTTATTTATGCTTCCTGACATCTCTTTTGCCTCGTGCTATTTTTCCTGTTTTCTTGTCCATTGCGCTGCCTCCATCTGAGAGATAAAGAAAGCCAGAAACAAAAATAATGAAGTCACTCGGTGAAGGATGGGAGTGTTTTCCAGAGGCCTATTCAAGTCCACTTAGGTTTGATTTGTTGTGCACAATGTGCATTAAAACGTGCAAAAATCAGGGCGAAATTTTATTAAATAACTCTCTTTAAGGCTGTTAATGTTCATGATATTTGAAATTTAATCATGAAGCATTTATATGTGTTGGAAAAAATGAGTTATTCTTAGAAGAACTCCAGAAAATCCTTTATAAAGGAGAAGTTTTATCAGATCTCCTGGTTTTATTCGAGCTTCTTATTATGATTTGAATATTTCATGGCGAAAAAAAAATCGAGCGTCCTCCAAGAGAAGCACCATTAATTGAACCCTTTCTGTGAAAAATAGGAACCAATAATAATGATTTAACAGCTGGCAAGAGGCTTCTAAACATGTTCCAGAGCTCATCGGCCCAGTTTAATGGCTTATATTTCACTAATGTGGACACATTCATATTTCCATGAAGAACTTCCCAAATTGGGCCAGACAGAAAAGAGTTTGCCAGAAAAATTCTCTCTGTTGGTTTTGTCCTGCTGATCGGAGAGTTGGTTTCTGAATAAATCACCTCAGATCCTAATCAGGGGAATGCATACATTTACATTTACTTTTACTTTTGATATAACTGCATGTTCTGGCAGTTATTATCCTGTGAGAGGGTCCAGAAAGGAAAAAGAAAACAGCATAAAATTACGACCAATCATTTCTGCACCTGTTGCTCTCTGCTGGACGTCTGATCTGAGGTCAGTGCGTTTCCTAAATAAATCCTAAATAAATAAATAAATTCCTAAATAAATAACGCACATCAGTCACTCACAGACAGACAAACGAGTCAAACTGCTCTTTATCCCTTCCTGATCAGGACTTAATAAATCCCCCATGAGCCTCTACTGTATATTAGACAGATCCATATTGGTCAACAACAAATAGACCTCAGTGGGAGTGAACGACATTGGTGTTGGCTTAT